TTTTTTTTTTTTTTATTATTATTTCGTTGGCTTTGTTTTTGTGATGAGAGACAATTACAGGAAAAAGGAGAGAGAAGGAGAAGCAGAAAGAGCGGTAAAGATGGAAGGACCCCCCACACTCGGGCTCCTGTTTGAACAATCAACTGCCACGTAGGCACACACACACACACAGCATTAACCAACCAACATACCCACAACCCGAAACTGATATAGATCGGATACAACTATACATGTCCATGAGCCGGGACCGGTCCCGACCCGAACAGGCCCTGAACCGGCCTCCTAAGGGCCGGTTTGTTGAACCGCACCCTTAGAGTCGCGGTTAGGCCCCGGTTCGCAATTTTTTTATTTTTTTTGACCCACCGGTTCGAGCCATGCCAGTTCGGGCCTCGGATCGGATGGCGGGCCACAACCGGCAGGGTTCTATGAACCGGCCCGTAGTTTATTCCGGGCCGGTCACGGGCCATGTTATTGAGGCCTGCCGCCGGGCCCTCTAGATACAACATGATTGAAGGAGTTAAAGGGTTAAAAAAATTATAAAGGACATTGAGCTTGAAAACAAACATGTATACGTGTTAATGAAAGCGTGGATACATTAATTGTTGGCAAACAGCGATTTGTAAAAATAAGCTTAAAAAACGTCAAGAGGTAAATTGATTTCGGTCGGCTGTATTTTGCCGCTTCGAATCCGAAATATTTATGCGCGTTGCTTTGCTCCCAAGTAAAAATTGCCCAGCAAAATCTCATTACCTTACACCGCAAGCAAAATGCTCAACAAATCTGATTCACTACTGCTTCAATTCTGCGTTTCGTGTTCCAATTTTCCTTTTGTTCTGCTGCTACTGATCTGATCTGCCGGTGAAGACAAACAAGATGGCCCTCAAAGTTGGCGAGAAGGCCGTCAACTATTACGGGGATGGAATTTAGTGGACCAGGGGTCCGGTTGTAGGAAGAGGAAGCTTCGCTCACGTTTACAAGGCAAAAAATCGCCGACCGAGATACAGCTGTTTCCCACCGGAGATGGCCGTGAAATCCGCCGACGCTTCTTATTCCAGTACGCTCCAGAAAGAGAAGGAGGTCATGACCGACCTGAGCGCCAGCCCCTACGTCATTCAGTGTTTTGCAGACGAGACGACCGTGGGGGACAACGGCTTGTTAGCGTATAATCTGCTGCTGGAGTATGCCTCCGGTGGAACCCT